CTGCAGGCAAGAGACACTAACTTAGGAGAGTACAGAGTTCCCTCTCTTTATCGCAAATGTTTTTGTAATCCGTTCCGCGGAAGTTTCGCTATATCGCGGTATTTTATGGTAATTTCTTAAATTTCCAATGTTTTCATTGTTTTTGTCATCAAAAACATTAAAAAATACAGCAAAAAAACTAACTAAAAGCTGGTATCTTTCTTTACATGGAGGAGATCACACACAGCTTTGTGTTCCTCTCACTGATTGGCTCATGCATTGAAGCATCTCTCAGCATCTCCCCTTGTCTGTCTGCTACTCGTTCACTTATCTCAGAGCCGTTATACGTATAGGACATTGTCGTAAAGTTTGTGCTCTCCCACCTGCAGCTGAGCGCTAACCTCCGACACGTCATGTATTTCATTTATTTACGTAAACTACATTCTTCTGACCAACAAAGTGACGGCTTGAATTAGACATTTAACACCGTAATAAACCGTGTTTTTTATACACCACAATGAGCATGAGAGATAGAGGCATTTAAAACAATTTTTTTATACATAAAAACAGATATTTCCCCCAAAAAGGAAGCACACTTTACAGTGTATATTTTTCTCAAAAAATAATAAATAGATTTTTTTACCACTTACATGTAATCATAGTATCTGCTGCAGGTAAAATGGAATAATAACCTCCCTACTCCACCAGTCCAGGCCTGAATCATTGCAGTCAGCAACTACGGGGACGGCTTCACTCCAACACACTCACACGTCTGATGTGCAGTCAGGCAGGTGCACAGCAGCTCCATTCTTTCTCTCTCCATTTTAAGTAGGTGGGTTGAAGGGCCTGAACCACAGGAGTGTCTCCTCTGTTGCTGTATTTGTCGGTGCCTTCTACTTTGCTGGAAACGCTTTGCTCTGCATGTTGTCTGAAGCAGTCTAGCTAGGTTTGCCTACGTCCAGCTAACTGACGAGAAGTGCCATATTTTAATGTCCGACTGTTGAAATGGAGAAACCTTATGGTGCTATTCTTAGCACTGAGAATTTTGCACGTCAGCAAACTCTACAGCCGTGTGGTCGACTTTTCCTCCATCTTCTCCTTTATTATCCTGACTTCCTGCCACCAACTGACCAATAGTTGACTTCTGATTGGCTCAAGAAATTAACATAATGTGAAATATACATTTTAAACCTCATTGTCTTACTAAACAAAAAATCTATCTATCATCCATCCAGCCATCCATCCATCCATCCATCTATAGATTTCGTTTTAACATTATCGTTATGAAACCATGACTTGTGAGGATCCACTTTTCCATTTTATAAATTCCTCCCTGATTTTTTCAGTGTTCTAGTTGCCTGATGCTGTTCTACCCAGACTTCACCTTCAACAAACAAACCAGGAAAAACCGAGTGATCTTTGAAAACCTAATATATATATATATATATATATACTGTCCACAGAACTTCTAGGTTTCCAGTCAGAGATAGATGAGCAGTAAAACATATAGGGTCTGGGATTCGCACTGTTATCCTTGCTCCTCTATGAAACCAACCCCAATTACCATAAAATGTCTTGTTAGCTCTGTATGTTCCGTTCACATTCTGTCAGCGGCAGTGAAGGCTTGATAGCACGGACGTTTGTGTGAATGTTGGAGAATGACAACAGTCTCTCTACCCCCCCCACCCCCCCCCCCACCCCCCGACGATGTCGGCTCAGTTATTGTCGTTGACTGTGGAACTTTGATTGAGCCACTGCAGGAAAAACACAGTCATTGCATTGCATTATCTGTTCATCCTCACGACACTCAGTACCTTCTCTGATGGACATGGTGACAGATGTATTTGAATGAAAGCATGGCTTGTTGTCACACAGAACTATGAACACAATCCAACATGAAAGTGTGATCACAGAGTAATTGACTGGGTGGAAATTCACAGGATTTCTACCAACCTCACCTAAGAGTCTTCAAGGGTGTCCTACCTGAAGTATTACACATTTTACTAAGACCATTATGTCTATAGAAGCCACCAGCATTATGCAGAAATGTCATATAACAAGTCATTAAATCCGAGATAAATCATGTAGCCGTAATAACGCCATTACTAAAGCAACAAACCCACGAAGCACAATTCAGCCACAGCTGAGACAAACTTTACTTCTGAAAGCAGCAATAATAATATAATACTAATTTGCAGTACTATTAAAAACGACAAAATGCATTTCACTCACCAAAACTAATGATTGTTTTGACAAAAAAGTTACCTTTTCTACCTCCATCCACTCGGACGCTGAAACTCCAGTCTGTCCTGTATTTGTGGCATAATTAGGACTCAAAAAATCAATGATTGCATGATAATGAAAATACTTTTAAAATACTCTGTTGTCCAGCCTCAATAAATTGTGTTTGTTTCCACTCTTTGTGAGGGGAAACAGACACAAACACACTGAGTGCAGCGACACAGGACAGACGAGCCATTCTGCCAAAATATTGTTGAGGAGCAGTAAAATAAGACTTTTTATTTTTATTTTTACCTTCTTCAATCAGCACTGCACACAGCACAGCATCTCTTTGCATTCCACAACCAGTCACAGTCACAATATATATTTTGTGTTATACTCTCAGTGACATATCTGTAAAGAGAGGCATTCAGGTGCCATTGGAAATTTGAGAATCGTGAAAATGCTCGCAGGAGAAAAAAGGTTTCTTGTATTTGAAAGGTTGTACTTGCATTATGGTATATTATCTTTAATTAGTGGACAATTAGGTCTCAATATAATGTTGACAATAATATTTATTGGAAATAATTTGTTTGAAAAATCTATATTGACTGTTATCGTCACAGGCCTAGCCATACGTTTTCCTTTGTGTTAGGCTTTAAGCTTTTGAGATGCAGTTTGCTAGATTTGTGACTGTGCGTTCTTTTGACCATCCAATCAAATCATTCAAATCACAAACATAACTGTGTGTCTGGTAGAAGGCCTCGATATTGTCATCTCAAAATCTGATTGGTTCAAACAAAAAAAACATAAAGGCTTTTCTTTCACTCATTTTGGATTTGTTTTTATTCAAGGTTTTGGCTTATATTTTTAAACAGCTATTTTTTTCCATTCTTTTGCTGAATTTAACTTTGATTTTTCTTATTGTATTATTTTGCGTTCATTTATATTTTTATTGGATAAGTAGATATATACATAGATAAATAGATACATAGATTTTTATTAATCTGGCCATCTAAAAAATATTTATAAAATATTATAATATATATTATATATAATATTAGATATATTACAATTGTGAGTCATTTTAGGTTTACGTTTAGTATATTTTGGCTCTTTTAAAAAAAAAAAAGTTCTATCAAATCTTTAGTCCTGGAGTTATGTATGAGAAACATGCTATGTAATTTTTTTCTAAAGTGAAAATGTGCATTTGAAATATCGAGGTTATCTGCAGACGTTCACAGATTCAGGTGCAATGATATGCAGTGACCAGGTGTGTTGCTGTGATGGAGAAAATGATTGGACTCACACCAGATTACACCTTCACCTCACAAAGACAGTGAGCTCCCATACAGACTGATGCCCATGTGCTCAGCTGAAATAAGCTCTCTGATTGCAGTAGTATTTTTTTCTTTTTTTTAAGGAGTCAAGCCATTTGAATGGAAATGCGAAATGAAAGTGCATTTGCCCGAACTCGTAGTCTGCGGGAGCAGCTGTGAACGACTCCATATGAAAACAGGCCATCATGTGCATCACAGCTTGAAGTAGAGAGGAGTGTTTGTGTTCTTGCCCTTCACCCCTTCATAACTTTGTATCACGCAAACAAAGCGTCATTGTTTCTCGGCTAATGTTTCTGTAATGTGGTTTTATATGATAGTGACAGACAGAGCTGAGCTCTACAAACCATCCATCACCACTGGATGAAACTAATGCACAGGAGAACAGACAAGAAGGTGCGGTCTAGGTATAGGATACCTAATTTTGTATGTAAGTCAGAACTCACATAATGTACATCAGTACATATGTCACTCAGCTACGCTAACACAGTGGTAGCATCATAATCTAGGACAGGGCTGTCAGACTAATACATGTTTCTGCAATTGATTATTATTTTTTTATTATTATTGATTATAGAAACTTTTAATTTCTCAGGTTAAGAAACTCTGCTGCATGGACCTTACTAAATGTTTTTTAAGCTCATGCGGGCCACACAAAACGGCTTGGCGGGCTGCGTTTCTTAATAAATTTATGGGAGATGGTGATGTAACCATGAAGTGTCTAGGACGTTGTAAACCAAGGTTGCACTTGTTTTTGGTTATATAAGACATATGCGGCCTCTAGAGGGCACATTAAAGCCAAAAGTTTCAAAGCACAACTACTTCGATGCAGATTCTCATAATGAACGCAAACAAACTACTGCACAATTTAAACTGCAATTTTCGGCGCAACAATTGACCCAGTGGAAGATGGGTCAGCATGACCTCAACCCCATAGGGTAAAAAGATTGACATTGGAGTGACCATGACTCATACGGATTAGCTACAAATCTTAGCGTTAGTTGTGAAATAATTCCTGTTTTTTTTCCTCATAAGGCAGAGTTCATACATTTGAATCTCACATACAGAAATACACAGACCCCCCACAGGCACAGGCAGCAGACGGCAGCAGCAAGAGGCTGATGATGATCACAGTTAGTGCGAGTGTGTGTGTGAGTTTGTGCTGTTGTTGAACGAGCAGTTACTGCACAACTACAGTGTTGTTACTATCGTGGTGAATTCCCTCTGAAGAACCTGAGGCTATTGCAGTAAAGTTATTATCTTTACTGCTGAGCCGTTAGGGGACTATAGTCTCCTTCATAATATCACTGGCCGCCTTTCTGTCCTTTCTGTCTGATAGTGTCGTATGTAATACATACATATGAGCAGAAGAAGCCCAAGTAGAAAGCTACATTCTTCACAGATGTTTTTAGCCTTTGGTCTCATGGTTTTCTTGCTTGTTTTTTTCTCTTCCTCTTCTTGCAGAGGCTGGTGGAGGCAGCAGAGGAGGCTCACCTACAGCATGAGGAGGACCCGGACCTTCAGGTGGGTTCACAGTGTAATGCTACTCAGCTCTCGGAGAAGCAAAACATAAATGTGTCTCCAGGCTCCAAAGAGCTCCGGGTTTTAAAAGCGTCTTTTATGAAAGAAGAATACAGTGGTTCCTCGTTGATCGTGGTAGATAGGTTCCAAGGCCTGCCGCGAGAACTGAATTTCCGCTAAGTAGTGACACAATATTTATGCCCAGTAAAATGATGACGACTTTTACTGTGCAGCCAATGGTTGATTTTATGTGTCTTCAGAGGGTGGTGCCATTTCTTGGTGCCACCTCTTCTACGGTTTCCAAACATGTATCCGTAGTAGTAGCAGGAACTGATTTTTTTTTTGCAAGGCTGCAAAAACATTGCGAAAACATCGGCAGTTAGCTTCCACTGCTTCTTTTTCCAGTCGAAGAGTAGCTTGTAGGCAGTCATGACGTCATCGATTTTGTTGCAGAATTGGACTGATCGAACCATGTCGTCGTCCCATTCCTGTGACATCTCTTGCAGATCCAAATCTGGGATATAGTATATTTTATATGTACAGTTTTCAAAAACCTGCAAAGTCGTGAATCCGCGAAAGATGAATCGCGAAATAGCGAGGTACTACTCTATCCTCATACAGTGGAACCTCGAAATAGGAGCGTCTTGACATACAAGTATTCCGAGACATGAGCGGATCTTCGAGCACGTTTTTGCTTTGAGATACGAGGAAAAAGTTGAGATACCAGCACGCCCACAGACGCCGATGCTAGGTGGCTAAGCAGCCTAAGCCGCTTCACTCATTCACATTGTTCACTATCTACGTGAATTTCTCTGTACTTTGTGCATTATTCTTCATAACAGTGATGAGCATATTTCAACTGGCTGGTCAAAGGAATAGCTTAGCTAGTAATGGTTAGATTCTCCAACAGCGTAGCTTTTCTCAGAAGTAAATCAATTAATCCCTTTGAGGTTAGGCCAAAAAGATGTTTTAATGATGTTCCAAAATAATTTTGATTAGGAGGAAAAACAAGAATGATGAATTATTCATGCTCTGAACCACACTTTACATGTGGGAGACCGTTGCCGATGCAAAAAACTTCAGTTCTGCAGTTTTGGTGGAAGCATTGTAATGCTAATCATATCTGCAAACACACAGAACGTCTCTGCTCTGCTCTCGCGGCTCTGCCACAAATCCATGTGAGCAGCTTTAATTTGCACTGCCTGGTGTTGAGTGTAAGTCCGTGTGGAGGCAGAGGGGATGTGCCTTTTCATATCAGCTTTACATCAGGACAGATTTGATAGGAGAAAAGCCGAGACAACTTGGGAGGATTTGCTGAAGTTAAACTCTGCTGTGTGTGTGTGTGTGTGTGTGATCACCTGTGGTAATGGGACGTGTGTGTGCGCATGTGATACAGTGGCTGCTCTGAGGATTTCTGCTGCCGTAGATAGTTAAAAAGGATCAATTATTCAATGTTGATACCAGCATTAAGTGTCACTACACAGACATACAGTATTTATCCAAAGCGACTTAACATCGTCAAGTCCGTGGTTCCTCTGGGAATCGAACCCAGGACTCTCTGCGCTCTGCTTCTGAAGTAGGCTTGCTAAACGCTACACCATGGAACCACTATCTTGGCTTTCTATGGAGGGCTTGAGCGCCAGGTTCTCTGGCTGGCTCGCTAATCAGGTGCTCCACGCACAGCACCCCCCGATGCTGCCCCTCTGTATTACACAAAGGCGAGCTAGTGCAAAGGTTAGCTAAGATATTGTCCAAAAAGTAGCCATATAATCACCAGTAATAATATCATAATATAAAAACATTCATATTTAATATCAATTAATAATTACATATATATTAATAATATAAACAGTTTTTAATACAAAATAAATAGCACTTATCATTAAAGTCGGGTCACGTGTTGAACTGAATTAACGTACCTGAAAAGTCGTAGAGATTTGAACAGATATCAGTTGTCCTGAACACCTCAGAAAGCTTCCACCGACTCAGTAGATCAGACTTGGTTTTTTTTTCTTAGTTCATGCTCTGAGTTGCTAACCCCAATTCCACAGATTCTTCCCTGCGCTCTGTATCTGCCGCTGCATCGACATGGCCAGCATATCAGCTATAGAGGAAAATTGCAAAAGTTGTGTGCGTATGTGTGAAGACCCTGTCGTGTTTCTGTGCTCTGTGAACCAGAGCACAAGGTGGAGTGGACTGAATCAATGCTCGGGACGCAGTGAGACACCGTCATCTACACAAAAACACACTCATGGCATTAGCGTTAGCATTAGCTTCTGGTCGGGGACGCCCTTGTACAAACCCACGCACAATGCTACAATATTTTTTGAAAAACTTTGATTTTGTTTGATCCACGGATTACCAATAGTAACTTTTTGCCGATATCCGATATGCCGATATTGTCCAAACGTTTAATTTCCAATTCCGATATCAACTGATACCAATGTATGCAGCCTATCATCTTGGTGAAACCCAGACAATGCGTTATCCAGTATTCATTATCGGAGGAAAAATCGATAATAATTCTTACCGATATATCACGATATCACAATGTCTTCTGATGAGCCCCCTGGTGGCTCCCACTAAACCATTGTTTTATACTATATCTAAGCCAATTTTCTAGTAGTAGGTCCAAAGGTGTCAAAAGAGATAAAATTAAAATAAAAGTGACTAAGATCTGACTTAGGTTGAAATACATCCAGAAAAGCAAAGAGCTAGGCAGTGATGCTGTCTCTATGAGTGAGCCTAAGTACACAAAGATGGCCAAAATGATAGTCTTACTACTTAGCTACATATTTACTTTAAGTCGAGTCAAAACATAAGTCTGGAGAAACTTCATTTTAAAACCCTGACAATAGAAACCGACGTTCAACGTGCAAATCTTCTCTTAAAAACCTCGGTCCAAATCCTCATATGCACAGCTTCCCCATTTTCTCTCAAAGTCCCTGTAGTATAAAATGAAAAGTTCTTTAGCTGCAAATCTTCAAACTGGCTGCAGCTTTTGTTGTTCCATGAACTTCAGACTGAGGACTTCATGCCTGTTCACCTCAGTAGCTGTGCAGAGGTGTGTGTGCGCGTGTGTGTGCGTATCGACGGCGGTATTCCTAATACTGCCCTTCGTGGTGAATAGGCTGTAATTATCACCAGCTGAGCTAAAAATACCAGGTCCACGCTGTGGGGTGAAACCGCCTCCATCACTATTCAGGGTTTATTCTAAAGTGTTTGTGTGTATTTTTCTCCTTACTCTCCCTCTCTCTCTTTTTTGCTATTGGATACATATTGGGCTGGCAGCCGTTTGATAGAAATTTCCTTATCTAGCCTTTCCAGAGCTCCTCTCCTTCCATGTGAAATTGGCACGCTAATCTGCTGCGCTTTTCCTCCCTCGCTCTTTCACTCGCAGCAGCAGCAGCAGCAGCAGCAGGGGCAGCAGGAGGAGGAGCAGGGGGAGGGGGCGCGCTAGGCGGGCGCCGCTTGC